AATTTGATGATATATTCAGGACTGAAGTTTCAAAATTTGCCTAGGAGAGATCAATTTATATCAAATTTTATTCAATAAGTCCCGAGGTTGATGGAAGGATATACTATCCTGCTGAACATATTATCACAATTGGATATGTTGGCCGAGATTTTTAGATTGAAGTTGGTCGAAATAATAAACCATTGCCTAAAATCAATAAATCATGGATAAAATTTCAAAGAGTTTTGGGGATGAAAGTTCTTTACAACATTGTAAAGAACTTATCTGATAAAAAATTCAGATGCTTGTGTCAATATGAAGAATGGACACTTCTTACGAATAATGGAAAAGAAAAATCTACTATTTTGAAAGAATATCCAGAAATTTGATACTCATCAAATTAATGGAAGTCCTACAACAATCCAAGAATCATGCAGATTGAGGAAGTACCCACATGCAGACAAGATTAAAAAGATTGATTTTTCAAGATAAAAGATGAATGGAGTAAGTAAAAAGGGATCTATCACTACCAAAGAATATAGCCAGCTGCATATGGAACCAAAGACGAAGAGGCAATAATAGAGGAAAAGATGTCTTTTTGATGAAAAAGCAAAAAACGCATGTGAAAATGTAGATCACAGGAGGAAAAGAATAGAGAGGCATGTGAGCCTTTTTCAAATTCTGATGTATGCAATGATGTAATAGACCAATAATAGTAAGTTTGAGTCATGTATAAATAGAGGTCTTTGGGAAAGAATGGATCATCTCGAGTTAGAAACCATCCTCTTTCCTTAAGCTTTCTTTAAAATCAGTTTTTTCTGGACACCCCTTGTATACAATAGAAATCTTGTATAAATCATTATAGAAATAAAATCTCAATCTTTTGATATCAGAAAAATATAAGTTTTTAAACTTCCTATCCCATAAATTCTTGACAGATTGAAGAAGATAATCTCTTTCTTACTTTAACAAAGAGAAAATTTTCTTTACTTAAGATCCTTATTCTTAATTCTAATAAAAGATACAATGAGGGTAAGAAGTTGAAATAGCAGAATTCCCATTACGGGAAAAGGCCGTTTGAGGGAGTAATTTGCAGATTCAGAGCCTGAAGGTCACTCGGTTCTAAGAATACAGATTTAAGATCATAAGTAAGGTAAAATTATTATCTTTGTTAAATTTAGAAATAATTATTCTAATATCTTGAAAAAATCGTAGAGATTATTACTTTTCATGTTTGCAAAAAACTTGTCTATCATGTTATTATTATTCATAAAGCTTGTAAGGAATTATCTAAATGATGTCGGGTTATACAATTAAAGGATTAGATAATCTGTTAGAAAGACTATTAGAAAAAATAAAAAATATTTTTTCTCAACTAGAGACTATGGATATATCATCTAAGGAATATGATAATTTTAAAGAATTATATGACAATTATATTACAGATTATGCTAATTTATTAGATCAAAGGATGGAATTATATATTAAAATTCGAAATGAGAGAAATAGAAGAATTGTGGAACTATTCCAATAAATTGGGATATTTTGTGCAAAATATGGCGAGCCATTTCATTAAGAGTATTATAGACATTTTGGCAAGAATGAATAGTGATAGGCCATTTAGAAAAATCCCCCCTTTTTTCCCCTAATTTGTAGGAGCCAATATTATCGCTATGGAATGACTAAAGAAAGAATGTCTGTTTATTAATATTTGCATTAAACTCGAACATACAACCGAGGAACAACAATCACAAAGAAGCCTCCAAGTAGCAACCCTATGTTTCCATACAAAGATTATTATGAGATATCTTCTCACAATTTCAAACTTATAGAATTTCTTTTTTATTTATTATTATTATTATTTTTTGGGGTATGAAGGGTCCTCATTCATGTTAAGGTTGAATAACGAAACTGCCATATCGCAAAATCGAATTGAAATGACTTTTCTGAAATCGTTGATTTAGATCCACATGAATCCGTCACTTTTTAGTTTTGAACCAAACCAAACTGCTTCGAAATTGTTTGATTTAGGTTTCAATATTTGCAAATCACCTCAAACCATCAAACCCTTTACAAAAAATAAAATAATTTAAATTTTATCAAACCCAATCAAAATTAAACACGCCTCAGTTCAAAAGATGCATCCATATTAAGATAATTCAATTAAACTCAAAACCTAATTAGAAAATTATGCATCCTAATTAATTAATTAAATCATACTAAAATTATCATTGTTCATCAAAATTGTGAATGCAAAATGCTCAAATTGGGTGAAATATTGAACAACTCCTGCTGAATCATGTTCATCAACCGTTCATTACAATTGAATGAAAAATTAAATTTGGATTGTAAGTCAAACTCACACATTTGAATTTCGGCTAAATTTTCAAATCAGTTTATCCAAATTTTCTTTGTTCTTTTTTCCTTTTTGGTAATTTTTCGCTATATTTTATTAGTACTTGTGTTGTTTTGTTCTAATTTGCATTGAGCTTCCTCAAATTTTCTGTGGACAGCATTTTATGTTTATTTGTATCTAATTTTTTGGTCAAGTAACTCAATTAATTTTTATATTTTAACTTAATTTATAGATTTTACTGTTAATTATTAGAATGATTTATTGGATTACTTAAATTTTCGTTGTGAGGATTTGATCAATGAGCTTTTTGACATCTTATTTTGGTGGAATTGAATGTAAACTAGATTGTCCTTTAAATTGATAAAAATGTGCTAACTGTTCAAATACCCACAATTACTTTCCCTACTAATGGTCGGATTCAAGATACATTGTTGAGTACAAATATGAGTAAACCGGTCATATACCATAAAAATTGGTTGCATTGTAACAAGAAATCTATAGTGATTCGGCAATATTTGAATGAGATAAGAGCATTGGATGATTCACGAAAATGTTATAGAAGGCATGATTATATTTGATATTCTTATTCATTTTTTTTATTGGTTGTTTCATATCATTTAATTCTAATCAATGAATTCAGCTATTATATTTTTATCTTTATGGCGAGAATGAATCATGTGTTACAATTTTAGATTTTGCATAGGTTTCGCCTAAGTTAAAATGTTTCTATAATATTGCATTACAATGATTAGAATTACATATATACATACACATTTGTTAAACCATGGTTTCAAATGGAACAAAACCGACAAAAAGTGATTTGGATTGATTTGGTTTAGAAATTGAAGTGGTTTGGTTTGGTTTGGAAAAACTTCAAACCACTTTAAGTGGTTTGATTTGAATATTTGTTATAAACCGTAACAAGGTATAATATGATCACAATGCTTAAACACAAACACAAACTTTATACTATAAAGAGATTACAAAACTTATATTATGGACCTATTTGAGCCTCATTTCAAAAAAAAAAAAAAATGCATTTTGAAATGGTAAATTGATAGAGAATGTATAATTAAAAAATAAGAACAAATTTGGGTTTACGTGTAACATTATTTTATTAAAAAATGTTTGATCGAAAAGAAGAGAGAATGTATTTTGAAAATAGTGAGATCAAATAAGGGCTTTATGTAGACAAACTATACTTGAAGCTTATACAATACATATTACAAACTTGACCACAAAGTAGAGAATAATTACGAGCACACTGAGATAGTGATAGATAAGTTGGACAACCAGTGACACCACTATATTTTGTTCTACATTATCTTGGTAAATTGTTATAAAGATAAGGCAACACCACTATCCTTTGTTCTACATTATCTTGGTAAATTGTTATAAAGAGGAGACATTGTGAGCACTATTCACATGAACACATATTTTATCCTACTACTAATCACACTTATGCTTACACAATGCACCTCTTCAGATTGGCTCGTTAAGCACATCTATATGAAATACAAATGCTCATTTGAACTAATGCTCCTTGATACCATATTGAGACTTAACTTCCATCTTATACTGTCAATATTATTAATAGAACTAATCCACCTTTATATGTTAGTTCATATTTTTATACTTGACCTATCTAGAATTCTACCCATAGAATGTAATAACTTATTTCTAGTTTAGGATTAATAGTAGAAAACCCCATGTAAACGTTTCCACCTGCGATATACTCTCTGCCTATTGAAAATCGTAGAAAATCCACTTTTTTGAAATCTTTTGGGCGAAAAAACCCCCCACCACTCATGATCTAATAGATTTTTCATGAAAAAAAAATGCCAAAATTAACAATGAGTAATTGTAATTTCAATACCCAAAACTTTTTACTTTTTTACATATTAAATCCTGATTTTTTATATGTGCCACCTACAATCCCAAATATTTAAACTTTATTTTCCACCCCATCCCACCCCACTTCACCTTCTTCCCAAAAATCCAATTAATACTCTACATATTAAGAAATGCCTTACCCATATGAAATTAAAAAATACTTAATGCAAATTAACTCCAAAATCTCTCCCAAACCCCACCCCCACCCACACCCACCTTCCTAAACCCAAAAAACCAAATCCACAGCCAAGCTATCACCATCGCCTACAGCTACCTTACCCACCTGGAAGGAAATCGCCGAAAATTGCCACTCACCTCCACCACAAGTGATCGAATCTTTCTCCTCATTAGCTTCAGGGATATGAATAAACTTTTTGGGCAAAACCGATGGCTCATTATCATTGAATGCCCTCGTTTACAGAACAATATAATGAACAACTTTTTTCCCTTATTTTTTTTTTCTTTTTTGATTATTGTCTAGTAACAACCAATATCCATAATAAACATGTCACTAATGTGCAGATTGATCATGGACGCATCCGAGTAGATATGAATCAGTTGGTAGTAAAGAGAGACCTATTTAAACCTCATTAAACCACAAGCATACCAGAAGGGATAATCGCTTTATAGTTCATAGCTAACCGCAATTTATGAGCGATTCGGAATATGTACACTTTTGGCTGCTAAAACAAAAGACAGCAAGACTGATCATACTCGGAACCTCATCCTGATCTTCATGTAGAGATCATACGAGATTAGTAAAAAGCAAGTCTTAAATCTTTGTTAGCTACTTGCTATCAAAATGTAAGGACACACAAGTGAAGAACTTCATAGTACAGAGTCCAAGTTCAGAGAAAGTCAACACAATTGTTACCTTTCGTTCCACATATGAATGCACCAACAGAATTTCTCATCACTATTAAGAAGCCCAGAAAATCAGTACTCTCTCCTTCTCATTGTTCCCAATCAACAATTAGGGTGGAAAAAAATCTTTGTTGACCAAAGAATCCAAGTCCTTGGCTGCTTGGTTCATATTATACATTTTGTGAAATCATGAGGCTCCTCCCGATTAACTTGGGAGTAAACCTTCTATATATCATTTCTGCTATCAAACTGATGACCCCGGAAGCTCAAAAGGCTTTCACTTCATACCTGAATGCTGTAGATCGTAAGTGCCAATTTTCTTGCATATCTTCTCAAGCTAATTGAACTCATCCTATTTTTGCACCAAGAAATGACTGCAAATAAAAATGAAAACAAAGATACAATTTTATTATTCTATCCCGAAAAGTACAGCATACTTTCTTTAAATATCAATTATAAACAGTGAAGGAAAGATTATTTAGGGAGAAAGATCTTAAAGCAGATCATGTCAAAGGACACCGCAAACTATTAACAATAATGGCAAAAGAAATCGGACAATTGTCCTCTCTTCATTATTCTGTCGTCTACTTTTCCATATTGATTGAAACCATACAGCAAACAAAGCAGGTTAAGAAAGAGCAAAAAAAAAGGGGATGTGCAAAAGATTAAATTTAGTGACAAAACTCCGTGAAAAGTTTGTCAAATCATACATTCAGATGCTTTTTGTCAGTACAGCCCCGGTTCTTGGGCTCTGTGCTTACTTTATTAGCATTTATCTTCTCAAATACACGTTCAATTCAATGAACACTATAGATATATATATTTAGACAGAGCACAAATTTACCTTTGATTTTGTTTGAGGAGTCCCTCGTTTAGCTGTAGCAGTGCTCCCAAATCCGAATTTTGGCTTCTTTTCTGCAGGTTTCAGTATTTGAAAAGAGCACATTAAAGTTTCATCCACACTCATCATGGCACCGGCATTGTCAAATTCTCCACAGTAATTGGGGGCAGAGAATATTGTGACAAGCTGTCGATTGGCAAAAAATTCATAACCATCTTCAACGACCTGTAGTTAATCAAATGGATAATAAGTCACTGAGATTCTGTACTACTGTAGAATAGTACAAAAATTAACATTTAAACCTGATGGGCACGGCATATAAGATCAAGATCATGCTTCTGAAGGAACTCAGTTACCATATCAGGACCAAATGTATAGGACACTCCCCTATCACTCATTCCCCACCCTTTGACATCTTTACTGGGATCTGACCATAGTAGATCACAAAGTAAACCAGTTTCTGGAACATCTATTGGACGTTGCATATTTCTAATTTGATTCAAATCATGCAGATCAGGAGAGAGTCCTCCATGCATGCACAATATCTTTTCATCTATAAGAGCTGCTATTGGTAAGCAATTAAAACAATCTGTGAATGTTTTCCACAGTCTCACATTAAACCTTCTTTTGCACTCATCATAAAATCCATATATACGATTTACCGATGCACATTCATGGTTTCCCCTCAAAAGGAAGAAGTTTTCAGGGTACTTTATCTTATAGGCAAGTAGAAGACAGATTGTTTCCAGACTTTGCTTCCCACGATCCACATAATCCCCCAAGAATAAATAGTTAGATTTTGGGGGTAATCCCCCATATTCAAAAAGTCTAAGAAGATCAGAATATTGACCATGAATGTCTCCTGCAAAATATTTAACTAAAAAGTCAAATTACATTGAAATGCAAATTGTTTGATAAAAAGTAAAAACATATTCCAATTAATTCAATGAAAATTAGCAGAGTTAGATCACCAAAAGAAGCAACAGATGTTTATACCATTTGGAAGCTTTAAAAGTTAAATATAAAACCAACAAAGCCTTACAAACTACACAGTAAATACACCAATACAGAATACAATGAAGGAAAACCATTTGAGAAACCATGAAAGTCAAACAAGTTCAAGTTTGGGTGAAGCGGGGTAATAAATGATTGTCACATTTGTCCTTCTTAATAAGACAATTCGGTAATGACAAACAAATTCGGAATCCTCAGCATAGTGAACCACCTGAATCATGTCATTTTGTACAAGCACGAGTAGGTTTATTTCACAAACACAACCATTTCAGTACCATTTTCCATTGGCAAAAAAACCTTTTTGAAAAATATCAAGAAGCTAACGGGGACTTAATAACTAATCTTTCATGAACTCTGCCTGTGACGAGCATTCAAAAACTAAAAATCTTCATTTAATCCAAAAATAACTCAAATATGCAGCATTGACAAGTCTTTCAACAAAATTTCTTTGCCATGTATTCAAAAAATCCCAAATGACTCAACAGATTGATTACAGCAATAGACAAATTCCTTTAGAGCACCTCAAAACATTTTTTGGATGCCATACTTATAAGCAACCAATCTATTTTCCTCACCTTTTACCAAGTATACTAATCCTCATTCGTGTTAGCAACTTCCATCATCTATTATCCAGGAAAACTTCTAGAAATAGGTATTTGCTCTCTTTATCTACATTGCGATTATATATCTATTCAGAGAATTTGAAATTTGACTTCATCCTTCACCAGATCCTCAAACAAAATATTTACTTTATCCCAAAGCCCCCTTGTCATATTTCCAGTTTGTCCATGAAGATATTGAGTACTCTTTAACACCTATCCTTAAATTAATTTGATGATCAATGGCAAGAATGGAACTCATTCATTAAGATTCCTCTAAATGAAAGTTTTGATACCAAGCAGAAAGAAACTTTTGCAAAAAAGATATACGAAAATCAGGCTTACTCAAAACAAATCAACTTTAATATACTGGAATCACTTCCATATTTGTGTTTTATAGGTATTCATTAATTGTTTCAGGACTTCTATTGTTTGTCTAAGAAAAGAAACATAACAGAAAAATTACAGCACCCTGAAAATGTACGCTTCCTATCTGAAAGAAAAGGATCTCGTGAAATCTGTGACAAGGGATTCAGGATTAGAAGGGGACTTGACTGAAGCAAGACGTAAAGTTAAGAAGTTGGAGCATCTGGTAAACTTGTTAGGAAGATTGAAAGTGATCATGAGATATGGAAGGAACTATAATATCAAT